CTCTCTCTGTCTCTCTGTCTCTCTCTGTCTCTCTTTCTCTCTGTCTTTCTGTCTCTCTTTCTCTTTCTTTCTCTCTCTCTGTCTCTCTTTCTCTTTCTCTCTCTCTGTCTCCCTCTCTCTCTCTGTCTCTCTCTCTCTATATATATATGTACATATATATGACCAAATATACATACTTATTTTCTATGGACCAACCAGATTAATTTAAATGCCACAGGAAACAAACTTTATGTGTGTATGTACATAGGAAAAACCAAATATACATACTTATTTTCTATGGACCAACCAGATTAATTTAAATGCCACAGGAAACAAACTTTATGTGTGTGTGTATGTGTGAGGGATGGGGTGTTCATTTTTAGGGGGTCTCGTGTAATTTGTTTTGCTCTTTTGGGGGGCACCTGGAGGTAGACTGGAGGGGGTCATGTGAGGCCCAGTAAAGTTCTGCCCCCCCCCGTTTCCCAAGGCAGATGAGATGTTGGGGGGCCCCACCAGCCCCCAAAGCTTTAGGCACAATTCTGACTGGCTGCGTGTAGGGGTGCACCCTGTTCTCTACCCATGTCGGCTGCTGTCCGGCCCCTGAGCAGGGCCCCCCGTTGTTGAATGTCCAGAGAATTGCTCAGACAGTGCCTTTCACCAGTGCAGCTTGTCCCCGCTTCCGAGGGGCGAGCGGGCTGCAGAGATGGCATCTCCCTCGCCGCCTCTTGCAGTGGCAACTTTGTGCAAATAGATAGTTCTGCCCCTTTTTTCCTCTCTCCTGTGTGTGTGGCCCTTTCATCATTTATCCTGTGGAAGATTTCAGGCCACAGGAGGCCTCAGCCCCTGAAATTCCACTGTGGCTTTAGCATTGTGAACCGCTTCACCCCCTCCTGGCCCCTGCCCTCACCCAGGAACCCTTACGAGCAGGACTTAGGGCCAAGGGTGGAGGGGGTGGGGTGGGGTTAACCTCAGACAAGCACAGACCCCAGATTTTGCCACAGGCAAACAGCCCTCCAGGTCCCTCTCCACCCCCTGCTGAGGCCCAGGCAGGACAGAGCAATGGCAGCATCTAAAAGCACAAGATGGCAGCTCTGACCCCAGCCCCACTCCAGAGGTCAGTGGACCACCTCCATAGGGACAGGCCCCAGCGGATCCCTGCCCACCTTGTTTCCTCAAATGTACATAGATCTGGAGGAGGTGAGGGGGTAAGAGCGGAGATTCTATCACAACCTAGGTGTGTGGGTTGGGACGCTCCCCCCACCCCCGCCCCCTGCCCCCAATGGGTTTGTCTGTGTTTGCACCTTGTCGTGTGTCTGAGCTCCTGTGACTGTACCTTCCTCCTGCCCTGGGACATTTGTATCTCTTGGCTTTGTAATAAATGCTGCATTCTCTCTGGAGCCTGTAGTTCTTTGGGGTACAGAAAGGGGAGAAGGGCAAGGGTGGGGGGTCCCCTAGCCTCATTATGCCTCTTATCTCTGGGTTCTCCCTGCCTTGGGGGCCTTGTATGGGATGAACCTGAACAGCCCTCCCTGCGGCTGGTCAGGTGCCCTCAGCCCACGCACAGGCTGAAATCTGGAGCAGGAAATAGGCATGTGCCCCACACCAGTGACTACAAGGACACCACTCTGGGTGGGCATGCTTGTTTAATGCTGTCTTCACTGGCAGGTGCTGAATCAGGGGCCCACTCCTGGCTTCCCCAGACTGAGGACCTCAGGTTATGGGAAACAATTCCTTCACGAGCCAGCTGTGGGTGCTGGGGTCTTCAGATGATCCCTTCTTGGGCTTAGCACTCGGTTTCCTTCCCACAGAGGGGCTCCTATCAGGCCTGGGGCCAAGGCCACGCGGGACTGGGCAGCAGCCACCCTCTCACAGTGGGGAGCCCACTTCTGCCTTCTGCACCTGCTCACTCCTGTGGGTGCCATCACAGTACGGGGGCTTCTGGGTGGCTTTGCAGGTACAGAGTGCCACAATGCGGGTCTCCTGGGCCTTGAACTTGAGTGGGGATAGGCCAGTGCGTTGGAAGAAGTGGGAGCCATCGCAGAAGGGCTGGTGTGGGAAAGAGGAATCAAAGACCTGACCCCACCTCCTGGGTGGGGCAGGGCAGGTCCCAGAGCTCAAGGGGAGTGGAGCACAGTCTCTGGGGCCCAGGCTCCCGAGGGAGGCTGCCTGGCTTCACTAATTTACCTCTCTCATGTAACGTGGGGGTAGCGAGTAGGGTTGTCCCAAGGAAATAAATAAATGGTCATCATGCACTTTGCTGGTAATAAGTGTTCAGTAACTATGTGTCTTTACAGCACTAGTCCCTGGGGGGCCTAGAGGGCCAGGACACAGGACAGAATTTTCAAGGTGACCTCTGGTATCAGCAACATTTACGCTAATAGGCTTTTTTTTTTTTTTTTTCTGAGACAGAGTCTCACTGTGTTGCCCGGGCTAGAGTTCCGGGCAACTAGCTCACGGCAACCTCAAACTCCTGGGCTCAAGCGATCCTCCTGCCTCAGCCTCCCGAGTAGCTGGGACTACAGGCATGCGCCACCATGCCCGGCTAATTTTTTCTATATATTTTTAGTTGTCCAATTAATTTCTTTCTATTTTTAGTAGAGATGGGGTCTCGCTCTTGCTCAGGCTGGTTTTGAACTCCTGAGCTCAAACAATCCGCCCGCCTCGGCCTCCCAGAGAGCTAGGATTACAGGCGTGAGCCGCCGCGCCCGGCCTTTTTTTTTTTTTTTTTTTTAATGGCTCTGAATCTCTGTTGGTTCATGAAATTTCTTTCTTTCTCATGTTCCCAGGATAAAAACTTCCCTGGGTTGGAGAGCGCCTGCGTGCCTTAACACTGCAGTAGCAGTTTTGCCTGGCTCCAGGCAACAACTGGCATGACAGGGAGGTCCCATAGCAAACCGGCTGCCTGGTGCAGGAGTACACTCCCCATCCTCCCAGAAGCTGTTCACGCAGAAACTGGGGGATGGAAACAGGCCCAGAGAAGTGACTTGCCTTGCTAGTTAGTGGCTGAGCTGGAGCCAAGGCTTCTTGACCTTAGAACCAGGGTGGGATGGGGAGGAGAGGTGAGAGAATTGTGCCAATAAAAATCAGCAACCTGGCCCAGAGGGCATGAGGCAGAGGCAGGTGCACCTAAGTGGGGTTCGGGACCCTGGGTTGCTGACACCATACCACACGGCTTGGAGGAACACAGTTCAGAGCTTAGCTCAGGAAGGAAAGGGGCCCGCCCAGGAGGCTAAGAATATGGGCAGGGTTCCTGCTGGAGCAGAAGGGAGAAGGGGTCTGGGGCAGGCAACAAAGCTGAGAAGACAGCAGGCTGTGGTGGGCAACCAGGAAAGTCACATCAACTGTTAACAGAAAGGGAAGGGTTTTCTGGAGGAAGAGGACCGGAGAGGGGCACAGGGGAAGGCTGGGAAGCTTTGGAGCAGGAGAGCCTGGGCAGAATCTTTTCCCAATACTGGGGTCGAGGGCCTGGAAACCTCTGGCCCAGAAACTTCCCGGAAGGAGGAAGGAGCGAGGGAAAGAGACAGGCGCACCTCTCGGTGCCTTAGAGCTGGGAGCCCAGGAAGGTGCCTCGGAGAAGGAAAGAGACCAGAAGAGTCCAGAAGCCGGGCTCCAGCAGCCTGGCTGTGTGACTTTGTCTCTCCAGCTTCATTTCAAGGGGTAGATGCAAACAAGTGAGCTCGAGGCTGCTGGTGGCGCTGGCCTTCGAGTATTCTTTCACCTCCAAGCCCCCTTGGTGTCCCTCAGGTATGTGTGGGAAGAAGAGGTCCATGTTGGGTGGGAACTCCCAGGGGACACTATCCTGTCCCCCAACCAGAAGTGTCATAGGTCAACGGGAAGGCGGGGTAGGGTCTCTCACCTGTTTCTTGCTGCGGCCACATACACACCACCTGTAGGTTTTCCCAGCTACCAGCTCCACCTTGATGGGCGTTTTCAGGGCCACCACAGGCTTGGCTGGGGTTTTGGGGAACCACCGGGCCTGGGGCCAGGGAAGATGAGGGGCTCAGGGTCAGCTCAAATTCTAGAAGCACTTTTCTGCCAGTTTCCCACTGGCCTGGAGGTGTGGCAGGCTTCCTCCACAGGAGGCTGATCTGCTGCAACCCAGCAAGGGCATTCCCCCCATGACACCATAAGGACTCTGAGCTCTGTACAGAGAAGAGATTTCAAACCCTGGCTCCTACCTGGGTGCTAGGGAGGGAGGGCCCAGATCCTGCCATCCTAAGGCTGGGCCACCCACACCTGGGGCCCAGTTAATCAGGCACTGCTGTCTTCAGCGCCAAAGCTAGGCTTCCTGCCCAGTGCCCTCTGGTCCACTCCACCTCCCCTAGAGCCATGAGGGTGACAGAGACAAGGCGCTGGGAGCCTGGAGTCTGGAGAATACGGCTGTATTCTTCCTGGTTCCACTCCCTGGTCTCCAGGCCTGGGGAACTTGTGCGAGCAGGAGGGGAGGCTGGGGGTACTTACTAGCCAGGAGGAGATGTCCCGCCTCTGGTTGAGGTTCTGCAAAGCACACAGGCATCACAAGACGGTGGTTTGGAAACAGAAAAATAAAATCACTGACAAGGGGAGGCCGGGGGAAGCCATCTGGGAAGGAAAAGCTAACAGGCTAAAGGCGGGGAGTGGGAGAAATGAGGGTCCGAAAAAGGGGTCACAAGCTAAGGAGTCTTGCTGGGGAGATCCTGGCACGAGCAGGCGCTCAGGGAAAGGTTGCTGAGTGGAGAGCTGCGAAGCTGGCGGCTGCGCGGGGTCCTCGGGACGCTGGGCCTGGCCCGGGACGGGGGCTCCCTGAAGCAGGAGAGGAGACCTGGGCTGGGTAGGGCTGGGCATGGGGTGCTCACCCAGGCGCGGCGCGCCGCCGGCTGCAGCATCGCCCCCACACCGCGCACAACCCACGGAGCGCTGCGCTCGCCAGCCCCACCCCGCCCGGTCACTTTTCCGCTCCCTCCGCCTCCCCGCCTGCCCGGCCCCGCCCCGCCTCGGGCCGGAAGGCGCCGCGGGGCTCCGCACGCGCAGGGGCCGCGGCGCCCGCCCAGCGGCCTCCTCAGGTCCCCGCAGCGTGGCGCGGGCCGCTCCTGGCGCCCCCATTGGGACGGGCCTGTCTGCGGAATACGGGGCGCAGAGCACCGCCGCCCGAGGCCACCTCCGCGGGAGAGGGGACCCTCCTGGCAGCCGTTTTCCCACGAAGAGTCTAAGGCCCTGCTTCCGGAAGCGCATCTCATCACCCCGGGAGCCGGTGAAGAGCGGAGCCCGCGTTCCGGAGGGTGCGGCGCGGGGCCCTGCGTCCTCTGCATGCACCCGGCTGCCTGGTGCGCTCTGGCGTGTGAACTGCTGCTCTAAGTGCTGACAGGAGTGTCGTGGACCGTGCCCGCCCCCAGCCTTCCCGCAGGCTCCACCGTTGGCACCCACCTCCCTTTCCCTTCAATAAAGCCAGACCAAGCAGGGTCTTTTTGGATTTTTTTTTTTTTTTTGCAAAACATTCTTTTATTAAAAGAACAAGTGCTGTTTACGAACTGCCCTTCGTACAAATAACATCCGTTATACAAAGATACAAGATCCGGGTTATGCACAATTCCAGGCTTGGAGGTGGCGGGGGCATTGCCTTTTGGGCTGAGGATATAAAGGAGATTTTAGAAAGAATGAAAAAGGAGCCCCTGGGTTTGCAATCGGTGGCTTCCCCTCCCCGCTCCCTAGGAAGGGTCTGCTACATGGAAACAGGCTGGGATGGAAAGGTGGGAGCCAGGGCTTGGGTCCTCATCCCACCACCCAAGTCCCGCGTTGAGAAAGTGAATAATGGGGAAAGAGAGCGCCCCTCAGTCCCCGAGTTTTCAGTAGATCAAGACAAAGTGGTCAGGAGCTAGACACTTTTAATCCGGACTGATGTGGCAGGAGGGCACCAAGGCCACTTCCCCACCTTCCTCCAGATTCCCAGGTGAAGACACCACAGTCCCTCTAGCCACCTCTCCCCAGGAAGTAAGCTGGGACAAAGAAGGGGAGCAAGCTGACCAGACCCGGCCCACCGCAAAGCAAGAAAGATGCTGGAAACTGGCAGGGGGAGCCTATGCCTTTGAAAACCTGTCTGTGTTTCCAGTTTGGGACCTTTCTCAGGGGGCTTGGGCTCCCCTCATTCCTATAGGCCCTTCCTAAGAGTACGAGGCGAGCACTTCCCTAGAACTCAGTACGAGAATGGGCAGGGGTCCTCTCGGCAGCCATAGACCCAGCAGCCCGAGGAGAAACACCCACAAACAGGAAAAACAAAACAAGAGGACCCTTCAAGTGTGTCGTCTATGGAGAGGATCCATCAGCTCTGAGCTAAGGCTGTCAGTGCTATGTGGACACCCTCCCGCCTTAGGCACAGCCCTGCACTCACACCATGTGTCACACACAGGAACAGACAGCCATGTGGAGGCCACACAGGGGGGCAGGGGAGCCAAGGACCAGGAAGCCATAGTCCTGAGGGCTGGTCCTGGCTCTGCCACTGAGCCTTTGCTCCCGCCCCTGCTAGGCTCGGAGCAAATGACCCTTAAAGACGGGTCTCTTCCAGCTCTGCCACCGCACCAGTTGTGATCCCACAGCAGACAGCGGCTCTGCATGCACACCCACTCACCCTCCTCGCTGTGACACATAGAGCTCCACTCTCATGTATCTTCCAACCCTGCTTCCGCTCTGCAAACCACATCCTTCCCCTCCCCCAGACAGAGATCTAAAAATCTGAGTCCCTTCCCACCCCCCCAATTTAAGTTCATTGTCAAAGAAGGGACTGAGGCTGGGAGAGGGTGAGGTCATTACAGTCATCCTTGGCATTGGCATCCTGCTCCTCCCAAAGATCTCCCAGACCTTTCCTTCTGCTCCCTCAGAAGGAAATGCCACTACTTCTCCTAAGGGCTGTGGGCACGGGTGGGGAGCGGTGCACAGCACCAATCCACACCCAGTCCGCGTCCCTTCTTCAAATCCAACCTGACAATCTGCCGCAGCATCGAATGCAAAGGGAAAGTTGGAGAACCCCAGATTTTGGGTTGGGGGATGGCAGAGTGTGCTGGGGGTCTTGGTTCCAGTGCACTACATCATTTGGACCTCTCTCTCTCCAACACAGCAGCCTTGGGGTGGATTTACTTCCCTTACCTTCCAGAAGAGAAGTTAACCTCAGCTCTAAGTGGGCCAGCCTAGGGCAAGGGCGGGGTGTGAATGAGCAACTCCAAGAATCTCTGAAGGTTATTTTCTTTTCAGTGGTTTGGAGGCAGGGAGTTACAGAGCTTAATAGATTAAGATAAATAAAATGTTGAATTCTATCATTTCCTTCTCACTGGTATTTAGCATTAATAAAAAGTGAGTATTTCTGAGGTCATCACAACTGCATCCCCCCTCCCCCAAGCCCTTGCAAGTGCTTAAGAAATTGCCTCTGAAGGATCCCCACCCACCCCCTCCATTATCAGCTCCCTAAAGTCTTACAAAGTCTTATCAACAGGAATATTAATATTATTTTCAGTATCAGAAAAAAAACAGTTGAGCAGCACAGGCAAAAATATATCTGCACTACGTTTCTGTTGTTGCCAAAAATATACACTTCTTTCTTTATTTAAAAACAAAACAAAAACAAAAAAAAAACCCAACAACAAAAACCCAAACAGAAACACACACAAATAAATCCACACATGCAAAGAGACCGACCGACAAGACAGGAGCATCAGGGAGAGCTGGAAACGCCTCCCCTCGGCTCCAACCCAGTGCAACGGCAACAGGAGCACAAGCCTTGCTCGCCTCTCTCCTGACAGCCCCACCTGGCCTCTGCCACGAAGGCCCTGGGCAAGTGGGGGCTCTTTTAAGATGAGAATTGCCCACTATGCCCCGGGGGAAACAGCTGGTGGGTGAGGGGATGGTGGTTAGGTCAGCTTAAGCGGCTCCCCTGGTTGGTGGGGGTGGGTGGGGTGCTGGAGGCAGGCTGGCTAATTCTGGGAGGGAGGCTTTTGCTAAAAGAAGTGGCACTTTACCCCTCCTTGCCCTCTCCCCCAGCCCTGGGGCTCCCCTTGTGCCGGGGAAGAAGGACCAAGCTATCAATGGGGAAGGGGGCCCGAAGGGGGCCCTGAGACCATGTGAGGTCTGGGGGAGGGAAGGCAGGATATTACCCTGATTCAAAGCCCCCAGCCCCCAGTTACTCTCCAATATTGGAGTACTGTTCTGGTTTTTGTTAACCATGTGTGCCCCAGAAAGGGACCAAAGTTGGTGAGGTGGGGAGGGTGCAAACAAGAGCTGGGAGCTCCCCCCCTCCGGTGCCGCATCATCTGACCATTGCTCCTATCCCTGCCCGTGCTGCCCCAGGTCCAGGGGGAGAGAGACAGACAGACACACGCTCGCGCGCACACATACACACGCACGCGCATACAGGCACACGCTCATTCACACTCTAAGAGTCAGGCAGCTCCATCTCCCCGCCCTCGGCACTCCTAAATCCAATAGTGCAAACACGGAGAGGGGCACCAAGGAAGGCTGGGGCCTCCGCCACCCACCCTCCCCTCCCCATCACTGGGGACCCACAAGGTGGGGGAGGCATGGGCTGAGTATGATGCTATTCAGCCCCTTCCTCAGCCCCCTCCATCTGTGGGCTTTTACAAGCTCAGCTTGTGACCCGCAACGGGGAAGGGATGGCGAGAAACATTCCAAGGGATCCCTTCTGCCGTCTGCCCAAGTCAGGAAAGAACTGCAGGTCAAGTCGGGCCAGCCCTCCTTCCATAAAAGATTTCCACACAGGGACAGGCCCAGGGCCTGTCTCTCTACTTCTCCCCATTCAAGTGCTGATCCATTTTATGTGACAGGTCCAGCCAGCCCCCTACTTATGCTCTCTGGGGGACCCCAAAACATTTTCCGAGGGTGGGGACTTCTAGGTGGGCTTGGGGCCTGTCCTTCCTACGAGCCTCTCACACGGAGGAGGGTGCACAGAGTGCAGGGGCCCAGCTGGAAGGGGCTCCCCTCTCAGTCTCGGTCCTCGGCACCAGGAGCTCCCCACACTCCCTGGGCCTCCGCACAGGCTCTGGGCCGGGGCTCTCCAGTGTCTGGGCGCAGGTGCCTGCTCTAGGCTAGAACCCCTCAGGCCAGGATCTGCCCCCTCCACTTGGGGGGTCAGAAGGGATATGAGTAGGTTTAGCCTTTTTCCTGGTTGGCTGAGGCTCCTTTGTCAGCGGTCTGGAAAGAGAGGAAGGGAGGCTAGGGGTTTGGAGGTGTCTGGTCTGAGAACAGCTTCCCAGACCAAGAAAGCTGCTATAGGGTGCGAGGGGCAGGCTGAGCCTCTGGCCTGGCGCTGGCTTAGTGGTGCAGCTAATGTCAATGTGTGGGGGTGGGGAAACTGCCCTGCACAAGGGCACCCAGCTGAGTGGCCCTGAGCCAGCCAAGGCCTTTCTCACACTGATCTGCCCCGAGGGTCATCTTTTCCTAATTGGTCTGCTCAGAAAGGAAATGGCCTTTTCTAATTGGTCTTCCCAGAAGGCTGTTTTTTAATTGGTCCTTTTTCTATTAGCCCATGCTCAGACTGGATCTTTCTTAGCCCTGCAGGAGGGCACCCAAGTGCAAGCAGAGGCCCTGGGGTCTGGGGTCTAGGGCTTGCTTCCTTCCCTTGCTCATGCATCCTAGGATATATTTTCTGATGGTCCATCTCTGCCCATCCCTCAGAAGGGAGACAGGAAGGCCCCGGACCTCTTACTTACCCCTCCTTTGGGGCCACTGCCACTGCCGTCCGCCCCCGACAGGCTGAGGAAGGGGTTGGTCTGGGCAGTGAGGACTGGAGGTCCGCCTGCTGCTGCTACTGCTGCAGCCGCAGCTGCTGCAGCCATGAGACTTGTGTTGTTGCCAAGCGAGGGAGCCACTAGGGCTCCAGCGGGCAGCAGGGGTGGGGCAGATGCTGTGGGCAGCAGGCCAGGG